ATTTATTTTATCACATGTTTTTCTTATTGTTTGTGCATTCTGTATGCATTTCAATAGTGTAATCAAAATGAACTGTGTGTTATTCAGTCTTGTACTTGTATCCGGATACAGTTTCTGATGTAATTTTAATTTGCCTTTACCGACCGACCATCATTGTATGCTAACCTCAATCGACTGGTAACTGTTAAGTCAAGGCAAGATATTATTGAAGATAACTGGTTCACTCTAAATTACTTTTTGAATAATTCACCTTCTGATCCTTTTTTAAAGTTTGTCTTTTTTAAATCATTTCAGTATTTATAAATAGTGTTATATTATTATTATTGTTCCCTTGGGTTCCTAGTGGAACATAGGGCTTCAACTGCACGTCTCCACTTGCTTCTGTCTTGTGCTGTACTTTTCACTTGCGTCCATGTTATTCCATACTGTTTCATCTCCTCCTCACACGATCTCCTCCATGTCACCCTTGCACTGACGTCCCACTCGCCGCTTCCCTTTCGGGTTCCACTCGAGGGCTTGACGCGCGATGTCACTCAACGGCCTCCTCAGCGAGTGTCCAATCCATCTCCACTTCCTCCTGCATATTTGTTGGGCGATTGGTTCCTGTTTCGTTTGTTCCCATAGCTTCTTGTTTGTGATTCTTTCTGGCCATCTAATCTTCAGTATGGAGCGAAGACAGTTGTTGATAAAGGTCTGCAACCTGTTGAAAATATTCTTGGTGACTCGCCAAGTTTCTGATCCGTAAAGCAAAATTGACTTCACGTTTGTATTGAAAATCCGAATTTTGTTGTTGTTGATGCTGTGTTGAGTGACAGCGGAAGATTTCCAGATTGGTTTCAGGTTGATGAATGTGTTTCTCGCCTTCCCGATTCTCGATTTGACATCCTCGTCCGTTCCTCCTGTGGTTGAGACAATGCTCCCCAGATAAGTGAAAGAAGTAACCTCTTTGAAATCCCTCCCGTTGATGGTGATTGGCGCTGGATTTTGCTGCTGTTGTTGTTGTTGTTGTTGGTTGGTTATTTTCATGACCTCCGTCTTGTCTATGTTCACCTGGAGTCCTGTCTTCTCTAGCTGCTTCTTCGACCAGTTTGTCGGTTTTTGCTTGTAAGTCTTCGATTTTGTGTGACATCAAACATAAATCATCCACACGCGAAATCCAGGTCTTCTAGGTTCTTCACGTCGGTCCAGGATATCCCTGTCTTCTCGTTTCGCACTGTCTGACGCATAATCCAGTCCACCACAATTAGGAATATCATTGGTGATAATAGTAGTAAAGTAACACTATAAATAGTGTTACTTTACTACTATTGAGATGAAGCGTAGAGTGTTAAGTAAGCAAGGAGAGAGTCGATCGGTGAGGTTTTATAGCTGCATCGATTGAGATGACAAGTCATCTTCTTCCTCGTTGACAAATATTAGTTGACGTCGGGTTAAATTGACTGACTGACTGACTGGTTTCAACATAGAAATTTGCACAGATGTAGATATGCAGCAGTTTGAGTAACACATGTCTTAACCATCTCAATCGATGTAACATCACAGCTTCGTCTATAAATTTCCCCTCCCACCTACCTGGTACTCGATGCCTGACCTCAATATTGCTCACCTTATTATTATACCTCTTCACACGGGAGATTGAGCGCAGACACCTATGATCAAAGACAGCTAACCGGCTTTTTCATGTCTTCCACTCTGAATGGCCAGGTCTTGCTCACAGCCAGCCATAAAGGAGGACGGAGCGGACTGATGAGCAGTACACACGCCCTTTGGTCGATAGCCAGTTGGATATCACGTCTACTAAGCCAGAGACGGCGTAAACTGGCATATCCGAAACTAGCCTTCTGTATCCGTACCCAGCTGAAATTTCGTCAGCGATCAAGCCGTTGGGGCTGGCTGATGCAAATTCCCAAACAAGTGAAGCGGTCAACACGCTGCACCACTTCACTTCCTATTTCTAAGCTAGGAGTCAGTGTAGTCCAAGCATGTAAAATCATCTTACATTTGGCGGGAGCGAATCGCACGCCAAATATTCGTAGATTGCAGCTCAAGGAGTTCAGAAGACTCTGCTCTATTTTGTCAGCGTCTTCGGTCGGTCGGTCGGTTTTCGACATAGAACTTTGCACATATATGCGGCAGTTCAAGTCACCACACTCTCTTCTTGTAGCACACAAAGCATGAGAAGAAAGTAGAAGAAATGCATAATATAGACAGTAAACAGAGGTGTGAGACAAAGGAATAGTAATAACGAAGAACAAAACAGAACAGTTTCATTGGAAATCATAAGTCACAAGGAGTGGATGCATCTGCGCCAACCATTGACAACGATTTTGAGCTAGCCATGTCACCAATTGTTTCCAACCTTCATTGGTTTTTACCGTCCATCCCGAGGACCCCAACCAGGAAGTCTACACCTTCCTACGTGGCTGGCTGGCTGGCTTAAACTAACTGTTGTAGATTTCATTGACTGGTGCCATGTTTCCGTTTGACCGCCGCTGGCTCTTTTCCAGCCTGGCCCTATATCAGCTAACATTGCCGATTGTTGAGGAAGGCGATGACTAGGCATACGTAACACATGTCCTAACCATCTCAGTCGAAGTAATTTCACAGTCTCGTCGACTGATTTCCCCTACTTACCTAGCACTCGACGCCTAACCTCAATATTGCTCACCTTATTATACCACTTCACGCGGGAGATAGAACGCAGACACCTATGATCGAACACAGCTAATCTTTTCAAGTCTTCCACTCTGAATGGCCAGGTTTCACAGCCATAAAGGTGGACGGAGCGGAGAAACGGCGTAAGCTGGCATATGCGAACCTAGCCCTTTGTAGTCGTGCTGAGATTTCGTTGGAGATCAGCCCGTTGGGGCTGGCTGATGGTACTTCCCAAGTAAGTGAGGCGGTCAACGTCAGCGTTTTCACCTAGAAGGACTATACCACCTGCATATTCTAAGTCAACGAGATTGTTCCCCGGTGGTAACAAGTTAATCCCTGAGTCGCTGAAGTGTGTTAGGGTTAAGTCCATTAGTACGTCTATGATGAAGTTGAATAGGAATGGGGATAATGGGCATCCTTGACGGACACCACTAGTCGTCACCACTTCAGATGACAACTCACCGTAAGCTGCATGAGTTCGACTAGAGAGTGCCTTGATCAGTGCAATGTATTTTCTCGGCATTCCCTTGACAGCCGAACATCGCCATATAGTACCTTTTGGTCGACGAAATTGGAAAAGAGTCATGGATGGACTTTATCTATTATCTTGATTTAGTCACGTTGGATAGGTGTAGACTGTTTGGCTAGTGTCGTCGATACACTAAGAACCATTGAATTGAAACTCCTGGTGATATGACTGAAAATCGTTGTCACTGACTCAGATGCCATTCACTCTTTGTAATCTCTCCAATTCATTAAATCTTCACACTCTTTCATGCGGTTCTTCTTTCTCTTGTATATTCCTATTCATTATAGTTCTTTTGAATTTCTCCTTTTTTTCTACCTTTTTGTGCATTTTTGTGTATAGATAGACCGACTGAGTCTTTCGGTCAGTCAGTCTGTCTATCTGTCAATCAATAATTCATTCTGTTCTGCTAACTATATATTATTACAAGTGGCATTAGTACTGACTTTCTAAAAGAGATTAACCACTGCCCCCTTCATTTTTTTAAAACAAAAGTAAACTTTGTGAAGTACGCTGATGATTTAACAGTTTCAATGGCTCTTAACTCCCAGCTAGACTGTACCAAAATAAATAGCTTTCTGTCGGGAGTCAGTAAGTGGTCTGAGTCTAACGGTCTTAAACTGAATCCTTCTAAATGTCAAACTGTTAATTTCAGCTTAAGATGTAAAAGACAGTTAAAAGAAGCCGTCGATTCTCATGAAAGTTGTAAGATTGACGACAATGATATAGGAATTAAATCAGAAATTAAGTATCTTGGACTTATTCTCTCTTCTGATCTCTCCTGATCTTCCCATGTCTCAGCGATCTCCAGTAAAATATTCCGCCTGACATTTTACATTAAGAAGTTAAGGCACTGGGGTACAACTCAACCCTCCTCTTACAGTTCATAAACTCTTGCATCCTACCTATTCTTCTTTATTGTTCACCCCTGCTTATTCTTTCTTGGTTTGCTTAAAAGGGACTATGTCACAATTCGTAGAATGCTGAAGACGGTCAGTAGGATGAGTGGTGTCCCAGTGGACCACATAGTTAACGTCGTTGTCGATAGGCACTTGACTTCGTGCAATAAATTTGCTAGAGGGATTTTGTCTGACTTGGAGCATCCACTTTACCCTCAGCTTTCACCTTGCATCTCCTCAGGTAGAACAAGAAGTAACTTCAGAAAACTGTATGCTCGCACGTCTAAGTATAAAAATTCTATGATACCATCCATACTTGGCACGTATATTATGTGATGAAAATAGTGTCAGGCAAGAAACCTTTTTTCATCTGGTAAATAAACAATTTCCTCCATCCATCCTTATATACCTCCAAGCTTTACTTTTATTATTTCTATTATATTTATGGTCCTGTTGCTTCTTTGTTTTACTCTCATAATTGCAAACACCAACTTATCTCTATGACTTCTGTAATTTTTGTTTTTCCCCTCACCATATCATGCAAAGAGAACATTATATTCAATATTTTTAAACATGCTAGGATTTGTATACCGCATCGACAATACTGTGTGAAACAAGCCCACAGCAATTTTCACTTGTATTATTATTATTATTATCATTACCTCAGCTGTTATCATTATTATTATTTTTATTTCCATTTTATATGCTGCATGTTTTTGATATTACCCCTATTGTAATTGTGGAAAATATTTTCTGTGTGACTAATTTTTATTTATAATTTGAGGAAATTAGATGCAAGATATTGTGATGAATGCTGAGAATTCCATTCTGTATCACAAGTACTGTTTTTGGAATAAAGTAAATCATTATTATTATTATTATTATCGTTATTATTATTATTATAATATTTCATCTTTCAGAAGCGAAATATGCTGAAAGTCGACGCAAAGAACGTATATATCTGAAAGTTCAACCAGATTTTAAACCTAGTTCTTGGTTAGGTGGTATGTTAGGTACAAAACTATATATTGACTTTTCTGGAAAATATCCATATGAAGACAAAATTGAAGAGTTATATAACAAAATTGTAAGTTTCATGTCATTTAAACATATTTTTTTATTTTAAAATTTTCATTTGACAATGTATTATATTTTAAAGTTTAGAGAGGATAAGAGACCAAAAACGAACAAATAAAAATGGATTACATTACCAAATTGTGCGTCGGTGGCATAGCGGTTAGGACACTTGCCGACCATGTACATGGTCCGGGGTTCAATACCCGGCCACCGACTCACTCCTTTACCTCGCTAAGCCAGAAATAATGCTGGTGAAGAGGAAAGGTTGGGCATGAGGCAGGCTAGCAACCCCATCCTGTAAAATAAACACCGCCACAGAAATTTCAAGCCACACTAGCTTGAAGCCCTATGTTCCACTGGGGAACGTGAAGGAAGAAAAAAACATTACCAAATTATTATTCAAGTCGAAGTCAAAGATCACGGCAGTAGAAGAGACTGGAGAAATCATGTCTGTATACATATATATATATATTTGAGGATTTTTTTCCCCTTTGTCCTATAATTCCGTATGTAATCAAGTCCATCTTCAAGGCGGCCTGCTTAAAACTTGGGCTACCATCTCTCGCTATTGCATATATTTTCTTTCGTTCGGTTTTGTTTTAATCGATTAAGATATGATCTCCAATGGTATTATTATCTACTTTTGTGTGTGTGTGTGTTTAAAAGTTTTTTTTAAGCTTCTGATTCTTAAGCTCCTAGTAAACTTGAGGAAAGGACTGATTGTGAGTGGTAATGTGTTCTTCACTTCTTCAGTTATGTTCTTGCACCTCAAACTGTACTTCTTAACATCTTACAATCGGCTTTCAAGTAGATATCGTGGATTTTTTGAAGAAGACAAAGCAGATATACCATAATGCAATGGTTTTTGCTTCAGCTCAGAGAGAGAGCATTGTGTCATAGGAGGAGGAGTGAGATTTACTGTCAATTAATATTTTACTTGAAGACATTCCACGAAGGGAAAATATCATGCAATAAACTCGTCTAAAACATGCTCAACTTCGTGTTCTCTTCTTTTAGAAATTCCTTGGCCTTTTTGGTAGTTCCTTAGAATTTCACATTTTCCTGATCGAATTGTGGTGTCCGTGGTTGTCCGCATAGAATGATATGAGGGGGAAAGGGATATCATGTCGTTTGACAGCCAGTTTATGTTCGTGGATGCGTAGATGAAGTTGGCCGTCCACTTTGATCAGTATAATGTTTTTTTCGCAGTTGTTGCAGTTTATCTTGTGGGTGATGTTCGTTTTGTTTTCTTTAACCGTTTCGACTTTTTTTAGTTGATACAGTACCGATTGAAGTGATTTTGTTGGTTTGTAGGAGACAGTTATTTCAAAACGTTTTGGTAGTCTTGCAGTGACTTCGGAGATATTTTCTTTGTGTTTCTAACTGGATACTTTTGCGTTGATTGACTGACTGGGTTGACGGTAGGCATCTGATGATTTTCCTGGAAGATGATCATAGTGGTATGTATTTCTCCTCTATTCTCCTCAAACCAGGAGTGCTGTAGTGCGTCCTTCTTGTTTTGTTATTGTAATCCAGTATGCTGGAGGAAAGGTTATCTTGTGAAACTACCAAAGAAGGGTGACCTGGGACTCTGCAAGAACTGGAGAGGAATCATGCTCCTGTTGACGCCAAATAAAATTCTGAGTCGCATCATCCTGGAGAGAATAAAGGACGTACTGGATGCAGAACTGCGACCAGAACAAGCTGAATTCAGGATAGGCAAATCATGTTCTGACCGAATTGCAACTCTACGCGTCATCATCACAGAACAAAGCATGGAATGGCAATCAAACCTCTACCTCAACTTCCTTCATAGACTTTGAGAAGGCCTTCGATATCGTTGACCGCGAAGCAATTTGGAAACTACTCAACTACTACGGCGTACCCCAAATATTCATCAACCTTATTCAACAGCTGTACGAAAACGGCACATGTCAAGTGATCCACAACGGAAAACTCAGCGAAGCGTTTCGAGTAAACACAGGAGTCAAACAAGGGTGCTTATTATCACCAATGATATTCCTAATTGTGGTGGACTGGATTATGCATCAGACAGTGGGAAACGAGGAGAAAGGGATATCCTGGACTGACGTGAAGAACCTAGAAGACCTGGATTTCGCGTGTGGATGATTTATGTTTGATGTCACACAAAATCGAAGACTTACAAGCGAAAACCGACAAACTCGTCGGTCGAAGAAGCAGCTGGAGAAGACAGGACTGCAGGGGAACATAGACAAGACGGAGGTTATGAAAATAACCGACCAACAACAACAACAACAGCAGCAACATCCAGCGCCAATCACCATCAACGGGAGGGATTTGAAAGAGGTTACTTGATTCACTTATCCAGGGGGCATTGTCTCAACTACAAGCAGGAGGAACGGACGAGGATGTCAAATGGAGAATCGGGAACGCGAGAAAGACATTCATCGACCTGAAACCAATCTGGAAATCTTCCACTGTCACTCAACTCAGCCAGCATCAACAACAAAGTGATTCGGATTTTCAATACAAACGTCAGTCAAGTCAGTCACTTCTTCTATACGGATGGATCAGAAAGTTAGCGGCGGGTCACAAAGAATGAGTATTTCCAACAGCCTGTTGCAGACCTTTATCAACAACTAACTGTCTTCGCTGGCTCTATACTGAAGATCAGATGGCCGGAAAGAACAAGAACCAAGAAGAAACTATGGGGAGAAACAAAACAAGAAGCAATCGCCCAACAAATATGCAGGAGAAAGTGGAGATGGATTGGACACTCACTGGCTGAGGAGGCCACTGGGTGACATGGCGCGTCAGGCCAACGCTCGAGTGGAATTGGAAAGGGAAGCGTCGGCGAGTGGGACGTCAGTGCAAGGGTAAGATGGAGGAGATCGTGTGAAAAGGAATTGAAACAGTATGAAATGATATCATTCTATTTCACAGGTTCTCATCAGCTGCAGACTACCTGAAGTTACAATGGTTATATGAATGATAATAACATACTTTAATGTTTGAGTAGTAGTAAAGAAGAGATAAAATTGACGCATCCAAAAAAGAATGAAAGCATTACAATTTTTAGTTTAAGTTATCATCATGAATTTATACACTTTCAGAGTTGAAAAGAGGGGGTAGGGGTAAGACAGAAAACAGAAAAATTGATTAACAGAAACAGTGTTAGCTTGTAGGTTCACATAGCAACTCCAAAAAACAAAAGCATTTACAGTTTATAAGATTGAGATTTGCTCAGTGAGTTGAGATCACTGAATTAGATGACCTATTAATGTAATCAAAATCAAAATTCAGTTACCAAGGGAGTGAGAGGTTAATCACACTCTCTTTCTGTATGCATAAGTCTGGTTTAAATCGTTTGATTGCTATCACTTCGGCAAATCGTAGTAAATTTGCTGTCCTTTGTCTATTTAATATTTTGAAGGACTTAGAAATCTCTACGAGATGTCCGGTATCAACAATATGTCTGGTAATTGCACTCTGAGAATATTTGCTTCCTTTCAGGCATAGGTTTCTTGGAATATGTTCCGGAAACCAGATAGAAGCCCTTCTTTCTGTCCTCCCAATGTACTTGCTCCCGTAAGTGCACGTAAATTCATAAACGCAGTTGGAGGGGACATCAGCAGGGTATTTATCCAGTTTTGAGTGGATCATGGAAGGAGTGGTGTTGTATAGTGTTATGAGTTTCGCTGCCGGGAAGCTTCTATTTATTGCTCCTTTCAGTCTTCTGTCAATCTTTTTTGACACTGCATCTCCTTTGAATGGGAGACAAATAAACACTTTTCTTTTCTACAGTTGGATGCTTTTCTTTCTTATCTTTTTCTCTGCTATACTTCTGTATAAATCCTTTAGGGTATCCATTTTCCCTCAGGCATTTCTCGACGAAATCTAGTTCTTCTTCGACCTTGTTTGGTGAACATAGCTTCCTGGCTCTGTCGTACAAAGTCCTCACTAATCCACGTTTATAGCTTATGAGACAAAAGCTGTTATAGTGGAGATATTGTCCAGTCCAGGTTTCTCTTCTATAGATGGACTTTTCAATCATGCCTTCGTTTTTTTTTTTTACATTTAGATCTAGGAAATTGAACTCATTTTTATGTTCATATTCCATGGTGAACTTGATATTTGCATGGATCTCATTTAGGCGATCATATAATGCCGATGCGTGATCCATGTCGTTGCAAACAACAAATGTGCCATCAACATATCGGCGATAGTAGGTTGTTCCATTGATAGCAGAACTTAGTTGTGTCTGTTCAAGGTAGCCCATGAAGATATCAGCCAGGATAGGTCCCAGAGGTGAACCCATAGCGACCCCATCAATTTGTCGGTAGAGTTGATTGTTGAATTTGAATTGTATATCTTTTGTGCAGAGCAGCAGTAGTCGCTTCATCTCTGTTTCCGGTAACGGTAGTAGATCCGTTTGTTTACAAATGATATCAATCGTTTCCATCAGTGGTACGTTTGTGAACAAGGAGGTCACGTCATACGATACCATGAGTTTGTCTGATATGTCGATGTTGTCAACTTCCTTGGAGAATTGGTAGCTATCCTTCAGGCTATGGGTTGCAAATTTAATTCGAATTGGCTCTATGGAATCAGCTAACCATCGAGCTAACTTGTGGCATGGTGAGTCAATCATTGACAAGATTGGTCTTAAAGGCACGTTTGCTTTATGGATTTTTGGTAGGCCACACATAGACGGCGGGCGTCCACCTTTTGACTTCAGTTTATTGTATGTTTCGCTGTTGATTAGTTTCTTGATTAGAAGTTCTTTGAGACATTTATTTACTTTATTTTCAAACGACGTTGTGGCATCTTTTCTGTTGTCTACTTGGAATTTTTCTTTGTCGTTTAGAATTGTCATCATTTTATAAATATAATCAGCTTTGTTCATTAAAACAACCCCAGAGCCTTTATCAGGTCTAAATATGACGATTTCATCGTTCTCATATAGTTTCTTCAGAGCTATTCTATGCTCTTCGGTCAGCATCTTCTGCTTCTCCATTGGCGAAATGTGGTATTGGTTAGCAATATCAACAAGTTTAGACTTTAGCCATCCTCTTTTATCTTCGTCTAAGGGTTTCAGGTCGTGGAGTTGATGGTATAAGTGTTCGAATTGTGCTTCTGTATCTATACGACTGATCTGCTTCTTGTGGACGTGAAACTTGAATCCTAGAGATAAGGCTTCTAATTCGATTTTGTTTAATTGTAATTTTGATAGATTACAGACGTAGCGTTCAGGTGATTCTGGGAATTCTTCGATTAGCTTCTCTTTCACCAACGCTTTTGTCAGCTGAGTTTCATAATCCTTGGATGTTTTTGATTGTAGCTCTTTGATAAAATTCATGAATTTTAGCCAGCAAATAATATTAAGCTCGCTCAGTGGGGTATCATAAGTAATCTATCAAAATTACAATTAAACAAAATCGAATTAGAAGCCTTATCTCTAGGATTCAAGTTTCACGTCCACAAGAAGCAGATCAGTCGTATAGATACAGAAGCACAATTCGAACACTTATACCATCAACTCCACGACCTGAAACCCTTAGACGAAGATAAAAGAGGATGCCCTGGTAACTGGATATTTTTCATCCGAATGCGAGATGCTGAAAAGTTTTCATTGTGTATGATTATTATTGTTTCGGAATAGTGTTTAATATTGCATATATACATGTATATATTATGGTTTCGTCAATTGTTTGTATATAGTATGCCGGATCAAATTCATCAATTTCATTCAAGGACTTCAACAGAAAACATGTGAAAATTTCTACAAAAATCTGTCGAAATCCCTGACAAAGGAGAAATTGTGTGACGTTTTCCCAGAAAATCCTGAGGAGTTTATCTGTAATCTGTCGAGTCTGAAGTTAAATCGCATTGAAATGGAAGTACTTTCTATTGGATTTAACTTTCACATCCCAAATAAGTTTGTCGGAAGAACTGATGTCGCAGTTCAATTCAAAAACTTATTCTATCAGCTGAGTGACCTCACTCCAGTTGATGATGACAAGAGGAGCTGGTTCAAATCTAAACTCGTCGACGTTGCAAATCAATACCTCATTTCTCCAATGTCATATTCAAAAGTCCTTTCTGAAGAGCATTGAAAGCTCTCAAGAATAATGACAAAATTGTTATATTGCGACCTGACAAAGGCTCAGGAGTGGTGCTGATGGATGAAGAGGACTATATCGTGAAGACGAAAGCTGTGTTAAATGACCCGTTGAGGTTTAAAGTTGACAATTGCCAGAAAGATAAGACAGATGCTGTCGAAAAACGTATCACAAACGCACTGAGAGGTCTTCTAAAGAAGAAATTGATTGACAACAATACGTAGAATGATTTGAAATCCCGACAGTCCTGCTTGCCACACATGTATGGCCTTCCGAAGATACACAAAAAACAAGTCCCCCTGAGACCTATACTTTCGATGATCAACTCGCCCCAACTTAAGGTGGCACGTTGGCTTGCCGAGAAGTTGGAACCTATTCGTCAACGGCTAGGCGTGCACACAATGAAAGACTCATTTCATTTCTCTGAAAGTGTGAACCACATGAACGTTTTAAATAAGTTCATGGTGTCATTTGATGTAACCTCCTTGTTCACAATGATTCCAATCAACGAAACTATTGAGATCATTTGTCAGCAGTCTGATCATCTCCCACTGCTAGAGTCGGAATTCAAACGTCTACTGCTGTTTACCATGGGTGTGCAATTCCAAGATCATAGAAGGAAGGGCTAAACACTGTTTATGTATACGGACTTGTCATTCTACACAACGTACAAGGTGCGTTGCATGGGTCACGAAATCGAGCCGAGGAACTCGTGCGAAGTTGGCAGGTTTATCTACCTTTGAACTACCAATGCACAAACTTATATATCTCATATTATTCCATGAGTCATTAATGTTTAATTCAGAGACGAGTTGTTGTCATTGTGACGCACAACAAAATCATGCGTGAGAATGTTCTTCATTGATGACGTTTGTTTGAGATATTTTTGATTTTTTGATTTTTTTTATTATTTTGATTTACAGCTTGATTCCACACCGTGTTCTCAGTACAAGTATGGAATTTTTAGCATGCATATCGGTAGCCCAAATTCAGGCCGACCATGGATATCGGGTGTGCGCCGGCAGGGGATCGAACCCCGGACCATGTGCATGGTCGGCGAGAGTCCTAACCACTGTGCCACCGACGCACAGTTGGAGATCTCTTACCATCAGATTTTAAGCCAGTAACTATTTGATAACATGATCACTTCGTAGCTAGATAATTCTAGTCTTGATTTCCTTTTGGTTTGTGAACATTCATCGCACAAAAGCTGTCTGTCTTGTTCTCTTTCGGCGTCAATGACTGACTTATTAGCTTGTATACTGCCTTGTGGTCTAGATAATTTGTCTACATTTACAATCTGCCTTGTAATTTTGTCAGTATACTAAAAAAATTTTTCTAAGATTTATTCTAACGGATAATAAACTTCTTTCTCCTGTTAACTGTAGAAAGAACGGAATAGTAAAAGAAACCAATCCGTTTGACGTATAAAAGGTTAGTTAGTAAATATCTTTACTTTATAAATGTCGACTAAATATTATACTTTCGCCTTATCCATGGGGAAAATATTGGAAAGTATTCAAACCGAGGAACAATTGTTTACTCAGAGCTGTAGTCATACGTTTCATTTGATTTGTCTTAAAAGACAAAAGAAATGTTTTCAAACTAGGAAAAAAAGCAACAAATCTAATCCTTAAAAAAAAAACAACTATTGAAAATTAATCTGATGCTCGCTAGTGACTTACTACAGTACGGAGTTGCCTGGAGTTCTAGTGAGAAGTCGTGACCAGTAAGGTCCATCCAGTCAGGTGTGTGTGAGGATGGATTTCCCACCGGTGACATTGGTCGGCGATCGCGCTAAATCACGAATTAATTGGTAGGAGTTCGAATTCATGGTCCATTTTAGTGGATCCCAGTGGCTGAATGGTATACGAGCCAGCTTGCCTTGTAACCGGTAGGTCCTGGGTTCGTACCCCATGTGGTGGGTGCATATTGCCGATGGTTTTCAAACTAAAAATGAAATAGCTGGCTGTCCAGTACTCCTCGCCGGTTTTCAATTTCTCTCTAACTGATATCAATCCGTGATCAAACTCAAAAAAAGCATATCAACAGAATTGTGTAGGCTTTAGATGGCAATCACGCAATATACTGGAGTGTTTCGGGTAGAAGCTAAATTAGAATAAAATAAATAAATTGAGTGACGTAACGTAACGTAATTGACGGGACTCAGCAGCTCAACCACCATAAATCAGTGTCTTTGAGAGAGAAGATATATAACAGTAGAGTGAGGGGTGGTGGGGAATAGTTCAATTTAAAATTTACTTATCCAATGTTTAAGATAAATTAGGTCATTCATATACTGAAGATCATTATGGCGGGTCCTGGAAGGCAATGAGGAACAATGAACTATAGTAGTGATCCATCCGAGAACCTATTATCCATCCTTCACCTATTTGGGAAGTTGTATCAGCACCAACGGATTGATTGGTGACGAAATCTCAGCACGGATCCAAAAAGCAGGGCTGCTTTCGCTAACTTACACCGTCTCTGGCGTAGGCGTGACATCCGACTATCAACCAAGGGACGTGTGTACTGCTCAGAAGTTCGCTCCTTCATTCTCTATGGTGGTGAGACGTGGCCATTGAGAGCGGAAGACATGAAAAGGTTGAGTGTTTTTGACCACAGATGTTTACGATCTCTCTCTCGCGTTAGATGGTATAATAAGGTAAGTAATGTTGACGTTAGGTTAGGCGTAGAGTGTTGGGCAAAAAGGGAAAATCAATCGAAGCGAAGAGGCTATAAAGTTACATAGATTGAGATGGCTAGGTGACGTGCTGCGCATGCCTAGCCATCACCTCCCCCACCCCGACGGGCATTACTAGCTAGCTGATATATGTGCAGGCTGGAAAATTGTAAGTGGTGGCCAAACAAAAACATCTCATCAATCAATCCATGAAATCCTTGACAGCTAAACTGAGTCAAGTTAGGTAGGGAGATGCAGACTTCCGGGTTGGGGCCCTCGGGACTCTAAGAATCAATGGCTGGAGACAATAGGTGACATGGATCAAAATCGTTGTCAATGGCTTACGCAGATATATTCAGTTTCTGTAATATTCAGTTTCATATTCCTTTCTACCATTACTCATTCTGTTTCACTCTTATACTTGTCAAAACTCTATTGATTCTCTTCACTCATCTTCTTGTCTTGTCTACCTTTGTGTGGTATTTGGAACGTGGCGACTCGAACTGCTGCACTTCGGTGCAGCCAAGTTCTATGTTGAATCCAGCCAGCCATTATCCATCAGATATACCGAAGGAATTGGTGATGGATTGTGGATATGCACTGAGGAGACCGTTTAGTGACACCGCGTGTGACAAGCACTCGAAACAGAACTTGTGAATTGGATAATGAAGGGTTGGTTGGGCGTGAGTGTCTTACGGACGGTGACAACATTGAGGAGATCGTGTGAGTTGGAGGAGATGAGAGACTATGAACAATGGTGGAGCCAGATAAAGAGGATTGCAGCGAAGAGGATGGAATGGCGATGAGTTGTTGAAGCCCTCCCTCCCTATGTTCCACTTGGAACCCAAGGGATTATTAATAATAATAATGATAACAATAACAGTACTCTCTGTCAACCCAATGGCATCATTAGTTATTCTTATCATCCATCCATATACATAGATTGAAAGAGAGATCGTTAGAATTCATTCACAACCGTGGTTGCAAATATGAGTTTGACCATGTGTGTTGTGTACTGGTTTGTAAATTAAATTACTATGCTGCTTATTATTTGATTATTAAGGTAGGTGACTCGCATACAAATCACATTAGTGTGTGTGTGTGTATGTGTGCATTTATTTTCCAATTCATAACGTGATATTTTTGTGTGTTAAACATCAAAGCGCTTGATTTTTCTAATCTTTGACTCTATCCTGAAGAATGTTTGTCGGCATCATCACACATTCATAACCGAATGTACTTCATTGAATTCAGTAATTATTGTACTCCTATGAGAACCATTATCATAAAGAATAAAGGTATCATGCATGAATCGGCAATAAGATGAGAGCTTACTGATAAGGTTGTTTAAAGGTCCATTTTCTAGCTTACTTAGAAAGAAATCAGCCAGAATGGGACCCGATGGCTTAATTCATTTCAATTAAAAACTCGTTTTCGTAGTAATTCTTAATAATAATAATAATGATAATAATAATTTTCTTATCGACTGTCATATCACTATAACAAGTTGGCTAGTAAAACAAAACAAAATTGGCCTTGAAAGTTGTAAAATCAATAAGTTAAAACTGCATACCTGACCATTCAGCTGACATTCAAATTCTTTAGGCTACCTTCAGTAGTAGCTTATTACATTTGTATGTGTATATTTTGTCTGATTAACTGATCGATTGAAAAAAAAGAACAGTAACACAGTAATGAAAAAGTAACCAGCATTTTATTCAAAAGACACAATTATGAGTGAAGTTAGATATATTGGATGTGTATCTTATTTATTCTAATGCGTTTGAATAACCTAGTATAACCAGCAGAGCACAAAAGTGGTTGGTAACGGGATATTTATTTACGATTTTTAACACACACACATATATAGGGAAGTTATATATTTTCTATAGTTTGGTTTGTAAGGGTTAGTTATGTTTTTACGAGTTGATCACGGATTGATATCAGTTAGAGAACCTTGTGAAAACCAGCCACAGGGAGTACTGGACAAGTTAGAATTCATGAGCCATTGAATCGGGCCTCCAAAGCCTCAGGATGGTCAGGGGTGGGTGCTTTGCGCTGCGGGTTGGCCACCCCTCCGCACACCTCTGGAAATGCTCCCATATGACCGGGCGTCTTACATAGCCTCTCCTGAGGAAGTCCTACTCACTGCCTTCACGTGGCGGAGGTGTTTTTCACCAAAGTGAGAGGGCGAAAGCGGATGCCCGGCGCTCTTCACCGGGTTGACTGTCCATTGGATGACAGTCTAGGGGAGATGGCTAAACCCTGATTCCAAACCTCCAACGACTGGCGTATGAAGCTCACTGGAGCTCACCGGGAGACGTATGGACAAAGGGCTTGTTGGATGTCCTGGATGTCTGGTCCCATTGAAAAGGCGTATGAACCGAACTCCGGTCACCGGCTTCCAATTGATAGTGGACTCCCTACTCCACTCACTCCTACTGCCTTGTAGGTCACACTTGGTTGTGTAAAGGCTAGAGCTGCACTCTGAAAGAAAAGGCCGAGCGATTCTGGGGACATCACTCGTACCAAATTCCCATGAAACTTCATGAACTCTCTGATAACCCTGTCGCAAAACCTTGCATGAGATCGCCGTGCCTGGGCAGTGATGATTCGAGATGTTCATGAAGCCGGCTTATCCTCCCGTAGGAGATAACCGAAGTAAAGCAAAGTAAAGTAAGTAGTCCCAGAGAGTGGCTGAGTGGTATACGAGCCAGCTTGCCTTGTAACCGGAAAGTCCTGGGTTCGAACCCCATGTGGGGTGGATGCTTACTGCCGATGATTCCCAAACTAGGCTGATGAAGCAGCAGCTGTCCAGTACTCCCTGTGGCTGGTTTTCAATTTTTCTCTAACTGATATCAATCCGTGATCAAATCGTAGAAATTATATATATATATATATGTATATGTATATATATATATATATATATATATACCAAACTCAGGTTAAAATTGTCATTCGCACAAACCTTCCGTGTTGGGCTACTTCTGCCCTTCGGATGTATGTGAATGTTTCCTTTTTCTTCTTTTTTCGTGTCTCCCACACACACATGTTTTACCACAATACTGATTCATCATCGCGTCTTCTCTTTGACGTTAAATCCATCTATCTCTTATGTGCTATTTGATATTTTTGTGCTGATGAATATCTGTTTGTATACCTACTGATAAATCTTGTCAGCAGTGTAGTACACACCCTACTAACGTGCTGCACGTTGTTTACTTCCAGTCAACAACAAAAAAAAACAGCTGAAAACTTTCTGCATAAAATTGCATTAGCTAAAATGTCGGATTAGAGACTTGCACCGCGCGTCATAAAGAGCATCTCAAACAAACTACACACCTTCATCAACAGCTAGTTGTCTTCGCTCAATACCACTCAAGATCAGATGGCCATAAAAGATCAGCAACAGGGATCTCTGGGAGCGAACTAACCAGGAACCGATTGTGAAACAAATATGCAGAAGGAAATGCAGATGGATTGGCTGGCCATACTCTGAGGAAACAAACCATCAAGTGAGTGACATCAGTAGACAAGCCACTGCTCGAGTGGAACCCGACTGTATTGGAATCGGTGAGTTGGTTGTGAGTTCGAGGGTGGGTTACTTGGAGGAGATGATGTGAAGAGGAGATAGATGGGTGTGGGTAGACTTGGAGCCAGGTGAAGACTCTAGCAGAGAATGGAAGGCAATGGAGACGCACGGCTGAAGCCCTATGTTCCACTAGGAATTAAAGGAAACAA